AAATTATCGGTCGCACCTTTGTGGTTCCAGCATAGGTCATCTCGACGGTTTGCGGACAGGGGGTGAGCGTTATGGAGTTCGTGATATCCGCTGGCCTGGTCGAGCCAGGTCGGCTCTTCAGTCCTCTCAGATTCGCCTCGACCTTCATACCGTTACATTTCAGCTCCACGTGGTCAGGAAACGCAACATCAGAAGGTTCTCTCATGCAAGCCCCGGTATTCTCTGAGGCGCAAAATACCATGACACGGTGTGATGGATCCTTGATCAGCTTATCGATGGTATCTTGGGACAATAAAACCATGAGCCTTGCAGTGTCTTTGGTTGATTCTCGAGCTAGATCCTAGTAAGCATTGCGATCGCTCAAGGCGGAGAGACATCAAAACTACCTTGGCACTCGTGGACTTGAGTGAGCTGCTGCTCAATGGTGTAGAGAGGCGAGCCTTTGAAAGTAATTTGGCCAGCACCGCTTCCATTGCTCTCGACAGGGTATCCCATAATTGGGCCAAAAGTCTGTTTGGAGGGTATGTTGTCGGATTTGTGAGCGCTAAGTGAGAGAACTGAGCGGTTGACGAGCGTCGCCCAGATTTCATCCAGCTTTTCCCGGCTAGGCAGCGTTATGATATCTGTCGGTAAGGGAAGTCAGGCTGAGACAGAAGAAGGGAGGGGAGAGGGGTTGTCGTACGATTTATCATTCTGATTTGCAGAAGAGCTTTGGTTCCATTCTGCCTCAATCCGCAAATGCCTAGTATCTCCTTCATCTGCACGACACTTGTTCCACAAACTGCCTGAATCAATCCCGTGTGCTCGTCACGCGTTCCACACCGTTTTCTCATCAATTCTTGGAGCTCATGGACTGAAGTGAGCTGCTGCTTAATAGTTCGGGGAAGGAAGCTCTCGATGCTCTCTAGCGCCTTCCGGTCGTTCAGCGCTATGATATCTGTCGGTAGGGGAAGTCAGGCTGAGGCAGAAGAAGGGAGGGGAGAGGGGTTGTCGTACGATTTATCATTCTGATTTGCAGAAGAGCTTTGGTTCCAGTCTGCCTCAATCCGCAAATGCCTAGTATCATCTTCAACTGCGCGACACTTATTCCACAAACTGCCTGAATCAACCCCGGCTTTGCTGCTACAAGCTCTTCTGCTTGGGCAGGTGTGTCTGCTGCCATAGTGTCCGCCATGGTGTTTTGAAATCGTGCTTCTGGGGCAGATAGCCGGATAGAGGAAGGACGGATTCTGTCAGAGTAGGGCGCAGCGTCGATGAAATCAATGGCGGTGGGTAGGAAACGTCGTGACGCGAGGGCCGCGTGTGTTTAGGGTCGCATGCGGTGTGAGAGAGGCATTTTTTGATGTGTAGATAAAGTTGGGAACGACCAGCATGCGTACTGGCACTCCGTTGACCCAAGGAAAATGGACGTCGAACTTTGCAACTTCATCTTGCACCAGTCGCCGAGACGAACTGAGCCCTTCCTGAGGACCCAAGACGTTAGAAGTAGCAGGGAAGCAAGCCAGACGCTTCGCCGATCTATCGCGAGTCGAGGTCCGCTTTCAGGATCGTTAAAAGGTTATGTTCCTCTATTTCGTAGAGGTCGAGGATGTCAATTGTTTGACTGCGATTATCGTGTCCATCGAACACCCATTTAGGAAAAGATGCCCAGCCCACTACCGAGTAGTTAAATTCAAGTCACGCGGGGTGCTGCAGCACGTGCAACATGTGTCAGTCGGACGATATGTGTTGCGCCTGGAACAGTTGCCGTTCCACAAGCGCTTCAGGCGTTACCTGATTGCGCCTAGTGCCAGGAGGCATTGAGGCGTCGCAGGACTCAGGAGAGATCTTCCTGGCACCTAGCATTTTGTATATAGACGATCAGATCTGGCCTGAGGACAGACACAGGTAGACAGACCAATACACAACCTTGCTCACATCTTTGCGAAACTGTAGAAATTACCATTAGTCTCCAAACACTCTACAGATGGGATTGTTCGTTCAACTTGCAGGGAATTTCGGCGTATCCCCTCTTCGACGTCTGAAGTGGCGCTGGGGCGCTTCAGGGTGGCCGGACAGTTGAATGTTCGAGAAATGGCGCCTTCTCTGCATGTTTGGGAAATGTGTCCTTGCCCACCTCGATACTGTACACCTTCGTTCGCTATAGCTATAACACTATTGCCGGGTCGCACTGTCGAACTAGCAGGATCGTGAATAGGTCATGGATTGGTCTGTCTACCTATGCCTGTCCTCAGGCCAGATCTGATCGCCTATATACAAAATGCTAGGTGCCAGGAAGACCTCTCCTGGCACTAGGCGCAATCAGGTAACGCCTGAAGCGCTTGTGGAACGGCAACTGTCTCAGGCGCAACACGCACCTATACAAGCAGCAATAAAGAAGCTTCAAGAAAAGTTGGTCAAGATACTACGCATTCGATTGTTGCGCCAGACCTCTCTCTGAACGTAATGTTATCAGAAAAGTTACTGTAAACTTAGATCCCAGATCCTGGACGTGCGATCTTCTGAAGCAGAAGCCAGTAGTTTACCGTCCGGTGAGAAGGCCACGGCCCTTACACTTTCTGTATGTCCTTCTAGCTTCTCCACTTCTCGACACGTGCTGACATTCCATAGCTCAACGGTATTATCATATGAAGCTGAGGCCAGTAGTGTACCATCGGGCGAGAAAGCCACTTGGGACAACTCTTTTGTACACCGGATACAATTCAGACGTATATATGTGCCTCGAGAGAAGTTAATGATGTCCCTGACACACTCTCGTCGTACAGTAGTAGAAACATTTTGCAACTAATCGAGGAAAATCCAGAAGCCGACCGGTCGCGGCAATAAACTCTGGCACCTCGTCAGCTATGTTGAGAGTTAGGTTTGCGTCGGTGGCGGAGGCCCATTGGGGGACATCGTTTTCGGGAGGCTCAATCTGGGCGACATTGATTTCCCAAATCCACGATCGAATTGGGAGTTCAAATAATCTAGCTGCCATTATACTCCTCCGCATATTCCTCTACCAACCTTCAATACGCTTGGGTAATTCCCTAGCTAAAGTCGTAATACTGTAATTAATCTCTTTGAGAGAAGCTGACAGATCACTTGTCTCGACGTGGTTGATGATGATTTGAGCTCTGTCTACCAGCTGGGCGACCGACGGCGGCTCAATCACATTAGGTTTTTGATCCGACATCGCACGTCTAACTAGATACACAGTGACAGAGATCAGACTTGTTATGTGGAGACACATAAAAGACTCTATAGCTCGCCTACGTCTCGAACCGCGCGACCAACTCGAGGTTACGCAAGTGGATTGTCCCTCGTGCGCTTGGGCGATCAAAACGGAAGTGTACCTGAACTTCCTCTGGTGTGGCGCAGATAAATTCGCCACCGTCTTTGAGATGATCCGAGCGCGGTGCCGACGAGACTCTGTGACGTGGAAGTAGACAGACGAAAACGCTAATACTATGTTGGGACAGTGGTGATTTGGGGCGCTGAACAAAACACTTTGATCGATGTCGCCAGCCGCACTCTAGCCTGTCGCGCGATCATCTGCGGCCACCACGACGGCCAGTTTTACGACCGGCCAAGCCACTCTGGAAGTCGCTCACGTGACTCGTGCTCTCACACCCCGCTGCTTCTTCAAAAATGACGTCGCGCCGAACAAAATCTGACCTATGAAAGCCTTCCGATGGTCGCTCACCCCATGGTCTACGACGTCCACGGACGTACCCCCTTACGGAGGGTCTTGACTACCAGTGGTCAATGGATTGACACGCTCTCTGTCAAGCGCAGCAGATTGCGGTCACGCCAACTCATTCAAATTGCACTTCACGCGCTACGTGACGGTCTTGCCCGGATAACAGTTATCTTCCGGGCGGTGACGCAAGGGTTCTACGGGATAGAAAGTCTGTCGAGAGTCAGAAACTGGACAAATCCCATTCGCAACCTGGCCCACCATTTCGCGCGGCGGTCAGCTCGCTGGCCTTTCTCCCAATGGCCACTGTTGCTGAGTTCTCAATGGGTCAACACATCCAACTAGCAGTTCGCCTCTGGCGATCAACCGGTAACGCTATGAGTCGTTTATCCGTTGCAACCGGCCGGATGATGCGTTGTAAGGGTCCTGTGGGAAGACCACATCTCTTCTCACCCTTTTTGCGGGGCGACCGAAGCCGTCTACAGTACATTCCCTGACGACCCCGG